GAGCCAAAATCAAGAGTCAGACCCTTAACCAACTGAACTACCCACGCACCCCAGACAGTAAGATGCTTTAAATGAACCCAAGTACATTTTTCATTAACTTAATGCTAGACTAAGTGGTCTGATTAAAATACAAAGATTGTGGGGCACCTGGGTGGCTCAGTCGGTTAAGCTTCTTACTTCAGCTTAGGTCATGATCTCACAGCTTGTGAGTTCAAACCCTGCATCCGGTTCCATGCTGACAGCTCAGAGCCTGGATCCTGCTTCAGATTCTGTGTCTCCCTCTCTTCTGCCCTTCCCCCTCTCACACTCTGTCTCTCTCCCCATCAAAAATAAATAAACATTTTTTTTTAATTTTTTAAATACAAAGATTGTCAGAATGGTGGAAGTAAAAATAAATAACTATATGCTGATTTGTAGGAGAGGAAAAAATTTCTTTCCCTCTACTAGGTTTTCACTTGGACCTCTGTAACGAAAGAGTCACATACAAAATTTATTAAATTCAACTTTTATGTGACATGGGAGCATTCATAAGTAAAGGAAGACCCAAAGAAACAGTTAAACCTGAGCATTTTTATACTAGGTTTGATGACAAATGGACAGTCTTGGGAAAATGTCATAGTACCAAAGAATATGAGCTAAGAATAGCAAACTAGGGAAATTTAGCAAGGCCTTTTTGTTCAAATTCCTCTCAGTATCCCTCCATCTTTGGAGATAAGGGTGCCTATTTCCTCCAAGTATAAGAATACCACCTCTCACATGAGGATCTTGACCCGCCTTGGGGAAGATCAGAGTCCTTCATATACCTGCCATCTTTCAAATTCCTTTAAGCTTAAAATAGTCAGCAGGCCAAGGTGCCATATTTTAGAATCGTGTGTTATGATACCCATCAACTACATGTTGCTTTCATAAGACACACCTTAGATATTAGGCTATGGAAAAGCTGAAAGTGAGAGACTAGAAAAAAGATATACCATGCAAACATTAACCAAAAGTAAGCTGGTTTATATTGCTATCAACATACACCTAAAGGCAAGAAATCATTACTAGAGATAAGATGGACGTTTCGTAAAAATGAAAGGTTGACCCAATCAGGAAGGTATATTCATACATACATTTGTACTTAATAATATAGTCTCAAAATATGTAAAGCATAAATTGATACTATAAAAGAAAAAAATACAGAATCATAGTGGGAGAACTTAACATGTCAGTCAGGAAGTAATAGAATAATAAAACAAAAAATCAGTATGGATATAGAACAGCACAAAGTAAAAACCTTACCTAACTGACATACGTAAAAAACATTGCATTCAATATCTGAAGAATTTACACATTAATTTCCAGTACACATAGAACAGTTACCAAGCCTAATCATATGCTAAGCCACAAATTTCAATGATTGGAAACAAACATTGTCTGATCATGGTGAAATTAAATAGAAATCAATAATTAAAATATCACTAGAAAATTCCCATATATTTGGAAATTAAGCATTGTACTTCTGGATGGGCCAAAGAAGAAATCACAGCATAAGTTAATAAATATTTTGAACTAAATGGTAATGAAATTGTCAAGTGAATGAACTTGGAAAATGCAATAGCCTTAATAATGGAAAATCCACAGCCTTAAATATTAGGAAAGAATATAGGAAATCAAATAGATATTAAAAATCTAAAGTTTTGAGAAATTAGGAAAAAAAAAGTAAAACCCAAAGAAGGTAGAAATGTAATGAAATAGAAAACAAACATGGTAAACAGGGTCACCAAAATGAAAAATGTTTTCTTTAAAAATATTATAAGCCATTAATAACAAAGGTTAAAAAAAGAAAATAAAGAAGGCATAAATAATACCAGGGATGAAAATGGAAATATTACTACGCATCAAATAAAATGATCAAAGAACTTGGACACTTCACAAAAGGGTATATCCAAATAATGAATAAACATAAGAAATGGTGCTCAATTAAACATGGAAATGCAAATTAAAACCATAATGTTGTGGGGTGCCTGGGCAGCACAGTTGATTAAGTGTCCAACTCGACCTTGGCT